GGGTCGGGTAGGGAAAAAGTAGTTCATGTATTCACAGCTGGTGAAATTCCTGCAATCTGTTCCACCGGTCATATTACCTTTGCACTGAAACCGCTACGCACCACAGAGCAGCGCGGCCAAGAAAAGCAAGCGGCACAGCACCCTGGAGGGCTGAGTCGCTGCCGCCCAGCTCCTCCAGCAGGTACCTCCAGAGAGGCACTGAGATTTTAAGGCCATTTCCCAGAGAAAGGGATTTTCTTCCCCTTCCCTCTCCCTGAAGGTGCCTCCAGAGGCGGTTAAGGGTTAAAGGAGGGGGGAGCCACAGTTCTGCCTTGGAGGAGGGCGTTTTGGGGAGGAACGGGCTCCCCATCCAGGGCATCTGTCACTGGACAATTTTCCAGCGCTCTTCAAAAAGAAAGAAAAAAAAACAGGTCACCTCCCCCCCCCCAAAATGGAGCCAGAAGCAACAACTGTTCTGGGGGCCACAGCGAGCGTGCAGACGGCCCCGCTCGCCTCCCGCCGCCCCGCACAAGAGGGGTTTTGTCTCCCCTCCACATCAAACGGGCTCCGTCTCCCGCTCTGCCACCCGATCCGGACCCGCGCGCCCGCGCCAGGGCCTCTCCCGGCCCGCGGCACCATTTGCCCACCCCGTTTCTGTTACCTTATATCTCCCCCTCCTCCATGAAACCCCAGCAAAACCATAACATTAAAAAGCAAGGCTTGGCATCTGTCCCATTTTTATTTTAGCAGCTTCAGTGGTAAATTAAATCCACTCTGGCACAGAGAGCCAGCACAGCTGTTTCAGCAAAGGAAACATCCTCAGTTCAGAGAAGAGGAAATTATGACAAATTTGTGTAAAATTAAAACATGTAATATGTGTGTGTGTACATGTATAAAATAAAAAGCTGTCCGGCCAAAAGCTGCTCCCTTGAATAAAACGGTGGGACTGTTTCCCCGGGGCCATGCTTGGGCACTGACGGGGCGGTTGCAGCAACACATCAAAGCGGAGGTGCTCGCTCCTTCCCGAAAAACTATTTCTGGATGCCGGTGGTAGCAGGCTAGATTATCTCAGGGCTGGTTGACTGCGTTCCCGGGCTCTGATTTACGCCTGTGGTATTCCCCATGGGAAGCAAGTTTTTCCCCACGGCACAGCCCTGGTCCTCCCACCGGGGTTCACACGGGGTGACCCAACAGGGCAGGGTTGTTGCTGCAAGAGGCAGCTCTCCCATGCCGTGTCCCTCCCTGACTGCGGAGCTGAGCATCTGCTGCACGTCCTGCCTCAACAGACCCACCATAAAACCAAAACACAGCCCAATATCCACCGAAATGCTGCTTCAACAGCGCAGGAACCATCTCGCGGAGTCTCCTTCCCCTTAACTGGCGAGTGGGGGGACACGGGGATGCTGGCCGGGGTACGGGCGGACGCTGGCCGGGGTACGGGGGGGACGCTGGCCGGGGAGGGAGAGCGTGCAGCACCAGGCGCGGTGCTTGGAGGCAAGGCGAGAGCCCCGAGGCAGGCAGCCGGAGGGAGAAGGTGCCTCCCAGAGCCCTCCTCTGCCCGCGGCCGCCCTGTCACAAGGAAAGGTTTTGCTCGGATCTGACTCGCTGAAACTCCCTCTGAGGGCAGCATTGGCTAGGTCATATCTGATTAAATACAAATCAGCTAGAAACAGGATTAACAATAATAAGTGAGTCTGAAGAGGTTTCAAAAAGAATTGAGAAGCTGCTACAACCCCATTTTCTAAACTCTGACAACTCTTCTGAGCCAGCAACACATACCCACATGAACCCCCGACACTCAACAAGACGTTTCTGAGCAGAGCAGAGGCTTTCCAGGACCTCGTGCAGAGAGGCGAGATGCAAACCGCCAGGTTCCTTTTCCTTCCCAGGCTCTCACTCCTAGCAGCTTAGCCAGTAAATGAAGCAAAAAAATCTCAATGCGTTTTATCATTACCTGGCTTAGTCCTGGCATCCCTGTCTCTCTTCCGAACGTGGAGTACGAGGCTCTTTCACTGCTCTTCCCTACAGTGGAGAAAAGACAAGACAAGGTTTTGTGTCAGAGGGAAGGGGAGGTTTGGCGTGCAGCCCCGTGCACCCGCCCTCCTGCGGCGTCCCGCCGAGGTGTGAAGCCCACTCTCGTAACGCAGCTTCCTCCGCCCATCTTCAGAGGTGACTGCCTCCCGAAATAGCTTGTTGCTAAAACAGGAGCTCTTTTAAGTTCACGGACAGCAGGGCTCGGCTGGTCCATACACAGCAAAACCCCAAAACTGCAGCGATGCAGGGAAGTGCTTGTGGCCATGGAAACTGGCAGTGTCAGACCAGAGCAAAAAAATCCCTCCAGACATATTAAAAAAAGCCAGCCAAATTTGGCAGAGGCAGTGACAGAGCAAACCGAAAGCCAAGCATGAGTGACCAGACTCTGCGGGTGCTTTCCATACAATAGGAAATACAATTCCAGCGCACGCTGAGCAGCAGTGTGCGGAGCTGAGCTCCCGCTCCTTATGGCACAGGGTTTACCTTCTTCCCCTTTCCTGGTGGAGATTCAACTTTCCAAAAACCCATCCAGATCTAAAGAGCAGGCATTCAATAGAAAAGCATTTCCTTCCTTTCCAAGCCCCCTCCGTTAGGTCCCACTGGCCAGGCTCCTCCTGGACCACGGGGCTCCTCGCAGCCGGAGCATCCCTGCCGACCGGGATGCTGCGCGGGAGCAGCCCCGGGGGAGCCGAGCCCACGTGCTCCAGCGCTGCCAAGTGAACTTTAGCACCCAGCGACGGCTTTTATCGAACGTGCTCAACCTCACCCTGCCCACACGTTGCTGAAAATAGTGTTTTCAAGGGTGGGGGGGGGGGGGGCGCG